ACACACACACACACACACACACACACACACACACACACACACACACACACACACTCACACACACTCTGTTGTCTTGCTTTAGTGTACAAAGCTGCAAAACTGGTGGAGTCGGAGTCTGAAGTAGCGGAGGAGCTGATTGGTTACCTGGAAGCTGCAGCCTCAGATAGTTTGGAGCAAAGGGGCATTAACAGGTAACACACCTGCTAATGAGTTCAGTAGAGCTGTTCTGAGTTGACGAAACTAAATAAAACACATCAGAGCTGCTCAGGACTGAAGATGAACATCAGGAATAAAGTTTCAGTGCTAACAAGCTGAGCCACAATAACAGATATGTTTTTATTATTTTTAGACTCTCCATCTTTAGAAGCTTTAAAGTGATGTATTTTGTTGAAGTTCAGTGATTTATAGCCTGGAAACAAACGAGTGTTGTTTAGGAGAGCGCCGGTTTGAAAACAGGATGTTTATTTGTCGGGAGTGATGTCATCAGAAAATCCCGCCTTTTCTCCAAGCTTCACACTGACTCTAACATCATATGTAGAGATTTCCTGGTTCTGCTGCAGCTGCAGAGAAAAATGTCCAAATTTTGATGGATGAATATGAACTATGGGGAAAAAAAATCAGTATTTTCTATTTTTTGCCGTTTTGCAGCTCAGGTCTTGTGTTTTTAGAGTTTATGGATTTTGTTTTATTATAATTTTCAGATACAGTCTGATTTTTTATTTTATTTCGCTGCTGTGAACCTTTCCATCACTGTTAACTGCACGAGTATTACCTGTGTTAATATGTGTGCTGGTTAAATGTAGTCTAGTCCATATAAAAGTGATGTTCTCATTCTTTCTTCAGGTCGTCATACGATGCAGCTCAGGAGTGGGCGGGGCCTGTTCAGTTCTGTCAGCTACACGGTTTGAGGCTCAGTCCGGTTTATCCCAGCCACTGTGCTGAGGATGGAAACTTCATCCACTTCTTAGTGTTTGTGCAGCTTCACAACTACCCACCTCAGCAGGTACACACACACACACTCACACTCACACACACACACACACACACACACACACACTACAGTCTGTGCTTCATAAGGTCACACAGAAACAGGATAAAAGTCAGATTAACTAATCCATCATTTTTAAAGAGTATTCATGTTTTACAGTGATGGTATTTCGGTTTTGTTCTCTTCTGACCATATTTGGCTCTTCCTTTAGGTCCGGTCCCTGGTCTCTCAGTTTGGCCACTCGCTAGAGGCCCACCTGAATCTGGTGTTTCAGGACTTGCAGGTTCACAGTCACAGAACAGACCCTGACAAACATTTAGGATCTCTGGGGACAGAAGAGACTTCTGAGAATCTGGAACATCCTGTGGAGGTGTTCCAGGTCCTCCTTCAGAGCCAGGAAGAGCCTGTACCATGCCGGTACCTCCTGCACAAGGCCCTGGACCAGCGATGTCCGGTTCTAGCAGTACTGGCTGCCTGTGTGCAGGTACATGTCGTCTCCAGCACTGCTACACCGCATTTCATCATTTTAATAAACACGTTTGTCTTATTACAAAGTTACAGGGGTTAGAGAATGAAACTGAAACACCTGTCATTTTAGTGTGGGAGGTTTCATGGCTACATTGGACCAGCCTGGTGGTCAGTCTTCATTAATTGCACATTGCACCAGTAAGAGCAGAGTGTGATGATTCAATTAGCAGGGTAAGAGCACAGTTTTTCTCAAAATATTGCAATGCACTCAACATTATGGGTGGCATACCAGAGTTCAAAAGAGGACAAATTGTTGGTGCACGTCTTGCTGGTGCATCTGTGACCAAGACGGGAAGTCTTTGTGATGTATCAAGAGCCACAGTATCCAGGGTAATGTCAGCATACCACCAAGAAGGATCAACCACATCCAACAGGATTAACTGTGGACGCAAGAAGAAGTTGTCTGAAAGGGATGTTATGATCTAAAACCAGGTATTTCAGTTTAATTGTCTAACCCCTTTACATTCAACTTTTCCATGGATGACACTCTACTTTAGAAAAACTGAAGAAATCTTTGTAGCTCCACACAATCCATTCAGCTCCCAGTTCTATTCAATCGGTCGCGATCTACCTGAATTACTGTAAAACTATCAGGTTAATTGGTTGAACAAACGGATACATTTGCATTTAGATTTAATCTGTGTCGTGGAAATCTTTATTTTACAGAGATCCAAGAATAAAAATTACTCCGTGAAATGGTCAACAGGATTTATTGCAATCTGCAAGACACACATGATGTCACACAGGGCAGTGGTACAAAATGTGTGCACTGAGGCAGTGTTGAATACATGCATTTATACAGTATGTTATCCAAACAGACAAAACTGGGCCAAGAAGAGAATGGTGTTTGATAAACAGCAACAAGAAGGATTATTTCTAAACATATATTTTCCTGATCTTAAAACACTTTGTCAGAGAGAAAACAGAAGATAAAGAGTAAAATCATAAAACATGATGACATTGTAAGATGAGCAAAAGAAGTCACTGACTCTTGGCCTGAGAAGAAATGTAGGACTTTAAAGGATAATTCATTTTTTCCAAGACACTTCCTTCCTCTTGATCAAACATTGATCACTAAAATAAATTTGGAAAAATAATTGTCATTCTTGTTCATTCATGTCATGTTCTGGTCTCCGAATGGAGGCGTGTGGGAAAGAATTGTCTTGGAAAAATAAATTATCCTTTAGCCAAGCTTTAGAAATCAGAGCAGCTGATGGCTGATTTTCAATATTTATTGTTTTTTTTACTTTAATTTCAAACAATATAATTACTTAATTTAAATAAAATTGAATTTAAGAACACTATGCAAAATGTGTACATTTAAAGAAAGCTTATAATATAGAAAATAAGAACTAAACAGTGGTCTACTTTATACTGATTGTGAGACTCTGCTGCTGCTACTTCTTCATCTTTCTATTTGGTAATTATTTAGGTAAAAACAGGCGTGAAACATTTTTTTTACAGCATGGGCTGAGTGAATGAGTCAGCTGATTAACTGGTCCACCTGTAGTTAGATAAAGCTAAATGTAGTTTTCTGTAGTTTTCTGTGGTTACCTGTAGTTACTTGACTTTAACTGTAGTTGCTTGTAACCTGTATTTAACTGTAGTTATCTATAGTCAACTGAAGCTGACTGTGGTTAGCTATAGTTATCTGTAGTTACATGTAATTAACCGTAATTATATGTAGATACCTATAATTAACTGAAATTATCTGTAGTTACCTATAGTTAACTGTAGTTACCAATAATTAGCTCTATTTTTCTGTAGTTACCTAGGATTAACTGTAGTTATCTGTTGTTACATACTGTATAATTAACTGTAGTTATCTGTAGTTAACTGTAATTACCTATGATTAGCAGTAGTTATCTGTAGTTAATTAGCTGTAGTTTTCTGTAGTTACCTATAATTACCTGTAGTTAACTGTAATTACCTATAAATAGCTGTAGTTACCTGTAGTTACCTAGAATTAAATGTAGTTACCCATAGTTACCTATAATTAACTTTAATTATATGTAGTTACCTATAATTATCTGTAGTTATCTGTAGTTATCTATAATTAATTGCAGTTATCTGTAGTTACCTATGGTTAACTGTAGTTATCCATAGTTATCTGTAGTTACCTGTAATTACCTGTAGTTAACTGTACTTACCTATCATGAACTGTAGTTTTCTGTAGTTAACTGTAGATACATATAATTGACTGTAGTTATCTGTAGTTACCTATAATTGACTGTAGTTATCTGTAGTTAGCTATAATTAACTGTAGTTATCTGTAGTTAGCTATAATTAACTGTAGTTATCTGTAGTTAGCTATAATTAACTGCAGTTATCAGTAGTTACATATAGTTACCTATAATTAACTGTAATTATATGTAGTTACCTGTAGTTATCTGTAGTTACCTATAATTAATTGCAGTTATCTGTAGTTACCTATAGTTAACTGTAGTTATCCATAGTTATCTGTAGTTACCTGTAATTACCTGTAGTTAACTGTAGTTACCTATAATGAACTGTAGTTTTCTGTAGTTAACTGTAAATACATATAATTGACTGTAGTTATCTGTAGTTACCTATAATTAACTGTAGTTATCAGTAGTTAGCTATAATTAACTGCAGTTATCTGTAGTTAGCTATAATTACCTATAATTAACTGTAAATATATGTAGTTACCTATAATGAACTGTAATAATACGTAGTTACCTATAATGAGCTGTGGTTGTCTGTAGTTACCTATAATTAACTGTAGTTCTCTGTAGTTACCTATCATTAACTCTAGCTATCTGTAGTTGCCTATACTTACCTATAATTAACTGTAATTATATGTATATACTTATAATAACCAGTGGTTATCTGTAGTTGCCTATAAAAAACTGTAGTTATCTGTAGTTAACTTTAGTTACCTATAATTAACTGTAGTTAGCTGCAGTTAATTGTAGTTACATATAATTAACTGTGGTTAACTATAATTAACTGTAGTTAGCTGCAATTAATTGTAGTTACATATAATTAACTGTGGTTAACTATAATTAACTGTAGTTATCTGTAGTTACCTGTAATTAGCTATAATTAACTGTAATTATATATAGTTACCTATAATTAACTGTAGTTACCTATAATTAGCTTTAGTTATATGTAGTTATCTTTAATTAACTAGTTATTTGTTGTTAACTGTAGTTACCTATAGTTAACTGTAGTTATCTGTAGTTATCTGTAGTTACCTATAGTTAACTGTAGTTATTTAGTTACCTATAAATAACTGCAGTTATCTGTAGTTATCTATAATCAACTGCAGTTATCTTTAATTACCTATAGTTACCTATAATGAACTATACTTATCTATAGTTACCCATAGTTAACTGTAGTTATCTGTAGTTACCTATAGTTAACTGTAGTTATTTAGTTACCTATAAATAACTGCAGTTATCTGTAGTTATCTATAATCAACTGCAGTTATCTTTAATTACCTATAGTTACCTATAATGAACTGTACTTATCTGTAGTTACCTATAATTAACTGTAGTTACCTATAATTAGCTTTAGTTATATGTAGTTATCTTTAATTAACTGTAGTTATTTGTTGTTAACTGTAGTTACCTATAGTTAACTGTAGTTAGCTGTAGTTACCTATAAACACTGTAGTTATTTAGTTACCTATAAATAACTGCAGTTATCTGTAGTTTTCTATAATCAACTGCAGTTATCTTTAATTACCTATGGTTACCTATAATGAACTGTACTTATCTGTAGTTACCTATAATTAGCTTTAGTTATATGTAGTTATCTTTAAATAACTAGTTATTTGTTGTTAACTGTAGTTACCTATGGTTAACTGTTGTTAACTGTAGTTACCTATGGTTAACTGTAGTTATCTGTAGTTACCTATAAATAACTGTAGCTATCTGTAGTTACCTATAAATAACTGCAGTTATCTGTAATCACCTATAAATAACTGTAGTTATCTGTAGTTACCTATAAATAACTGTAGTTATCTGTAGTTATCTATAATCAACTGCAGTTATCTTTAATTACCTATAGTTACCTATAATGAACTGTACTTATCTGTAGTTAGTTATCTATAATCAACTGCAGTTATCTTTAATTACCTATAGTTACCTATAATGAACTGTACTTATCTGTAGTTAGTTATCTATAATCAACTGCAGTTATCTTTAATTACCTATAGTTACCTATAATGAACTGT